TCCATAGAAAAGGATTGGATTGTTGATAACTAAATTCTGTAAAAAGATAAAAACAATGAAAAAGGGATTAAAACAATAAAATATTTAAATTGAAGATTGAAAAAAAATAAAAAAGATTAAAATAAATAAAATAAATTTTTTAAGAGATTAAGATATGAATTTTAAAAGAACAAAAGCAAAACTTATACTTTTAATTTTTAGATTAAAAAATTAAAATAAATATTTAGTTTGTAAATAGATTTGTCATAAAAAACACAATTTAAAAAATCAAACATTATCATGAGCTTAAGAAAAATTAAAATAAAATCAACAAAGAAATCATTAATTCAAAATTTATAATATTTTTAAATAAATCAAATCATAATCACAATGAAAAAACTTAGGAGCCAACAAAATAGTGAGAATATCATAAAAATGATAAATATTAGATATCGAAGAAGTAACTATAACAACTTAAAATTTATGTCACAAATTTTATACATTGACTAATCTTAAAACTCTTAGTGATCAAAGAAGTAAGTATGATAATTTGAGGTTGGTTTCCAAAACAAAACGCTTTTCTTTGAATTTAGAAACAAACTTGTCACACACAAGCTTATAAACTTTTGACTAAAGAACAAAAAAAAAATGATTAAAATGACATTTACTATCAATAATAATAAAAAAGTTATTTTTTTAAACAAATCATCGCTTTTATAATATTATCAATATAAAAAATATTAAAAAAAGAATACCTTAAATCTTGCAGGCATAACACCATGAAATTTATGGACTCACCACCAATAGCTTGATAATGAGACTAATCTATGCAAACAATAACATCAATAATATCAAATGAAAAAAGTTAAAATAACAACTATTTTAAAGAAAAAAACATCTATAATAAATTATCAAAAAATAAAACTATTAAGCACTTAGCTCAACGCTTATCAAAATAATCATAAGCTATTAAAACAATATATCATGGAATATTTACACATTCATCAAGCATCTCTTTGATAATTGTACTATTAAGAAAAAGAATTATATCATTTGCAGTAATTACCTAATAATTATATTTATTTTTTACAATAGAAAATTCTTTGATATAATATAAACCCCTTCATGAATCCTTTCCTTCAATTGATATATATTATGACTCCAAAGAACATAATGAATATAAAATCATTATGAAGTACAAAAATGATAAAATAAATAAAAAATGAAAATAACAACAAAAATATTATAAAAATAAATTTATTTGCATACTTTACCAACCAATATCAGTTTTGTACCAATACTTTGTTTAGTCTTATAATATAAACATCTTACATTCAACAATACAAAATTTGATCATATAATTATCTTTGAAAGTCAATTTAGCAACTTGACATATTTCAATTGGGCAAAAGGCAAATTTGAAGTGAAAAAATCTTGATTGGTGCAGTGCATTAAGTTGATATTTGAAAAGGTCTAAAATAATGATTTGTCCTTTTCATCTCACAATCAAAGATATTCAACAACTTGTAATAACAGGTATCCGATTTTAAGTTGCATAACTTGACCGACATGGCTTCTCAACATCTAAGTTGACATTTTAAAATTAAGTATTATTAAATTCTATTTTAATTTTAAGTATGGGTAAATCTTAGTCAGATTTTTCAATCTTGATTGGTGCAGTGCATTAAGTTGATATTTGAAAAGGTCTAAAATAATGATTTATCCTTTTCATCTCACAATCAAAGGTATTAGACAACTTGCAATAACCGGTATCCGATTTTAAGTTGTACAACTTGACTGACGTGGCTTCACAACATCTAAGTGTTTTTTCAACTGCTTCTAGCAGTCCTCTAAAATGAATTGATGTATCTGTTTAATGCATTTAAGCGTTTTTTTATATAATTACAATGTGCTTTTCTGTTTGGATCGTGAAGGTACGATCTGACTATCCTTAAACGGAAGACTTAAACTTAATTGATGGGAAAGAGGTGTGGTGACTTACCACACCACACTTTTTGAGACTTTTAACATTTTTGCTTTTTATTTTTTATTTTTTAATTAATATATTATGAAATAATTTTTTAATATAATATAATAAAAAATTTATTATATAATAAACTTATAAATAATAAATTTATTATTATATTATGAATTAAAATTTATTATGTTATTATTATATAAAAAATAATAACTAAATATTATATTATAAACTAAAAATAAAATTTAGTATTATATTATTATTTTAACTAATAATAGATAACTACATCATTAATAAAAAAATTAAATAAAAAATATCATTTGATATTTTATTATTTTTTTAGTTTTTAATTATTTATCAATAAAAATATTATTTGATATAAAAATAATTTAATGATTTTTCAATTATTTATTAATTTTATAAATGTTAAATAATTTAAATTTTTTATTACATACAAATTTTAATCTAATATATTTAATGATTATTTCTTTTCTAACTATAATTAAACTCATTTCCAGCATTCATTTGCATCGAAATATGTATATTCACAATTAATTTTAATTTTATAGATATAGTATATAATCTTACTGTTTTTAATCCTATCTAAATCAATCTTATTATCCATTTAAATGGAACTTACATAATTTTCATTGCACTAAAGATATCAATCTTATTCAAATTTAACGAAAAATCTAATTTTTTATCTAAGTATAACGTTAGTTAACTAACATAGATATTAAATTTTAGAAATTAAGATGAAAATGTGTATGATTTTAAAGTTGGTCTCACAAAATTTTTTTTAATTCATTTAAGGCTTAGTTTGGATCACACCTTGTTGTGGTGCGAACAAGTATCTTTTTGCTATAATCTCACTATGATTATCCATTTGGATAACTTTATTAGGTGTGATTTATTCTACATAGCATAAGTTGGAGGAATAATCTCCATTGGTGTGAAAAAGGATGTGTGACTCACTGCAATCCATTTTGGACATTTTTGTCCCCATCAAATTCTTTTAATTCCATTTTTCCCATTTTTTAAAAGTTCATTAAGATTAAAATAATTTTAATAAAATTAAAAATAATATTATATTTCTACTCACATTATTTTTAATTATATGTTTAAATAGTTGATTTTGAATATTTTAAATATTAAATAAAATTAAAATATGTATTAAAATAATTTTTTAATTCATTAATAAATTAATATCCATAATAATCAAATTTTATTTTCACATGACTACTATCATTGTTTTTATATTCAAATATATATTCAATCATTGATTATAACCTTACAGTTATAATATATAATCTTACCATTACAATATTTAATTATACTGTCAATATTATTTTCAATCTCATCAGAGTTAATCTCATTGCCCATCCAAATGAACAATAATTTTTTTTTTATGCACCGTAATATTGACGATTTTAGCATATCTTTCATCTTATAATTTAATTGGTACCATAAACATATTAGAAATAGGTGGCCCAAAGAATTGGATAAGACTCCATATTGGATAAAAGATTTGCTTTAACCAAATTAAATGAATAAAATTTTACACTTATTTTAGAATTATTATTTTATATATTGACTTGATTGTTGATTTATGGTTTATAGAATTGGTATTATCATTTAATAATTGAACTATTATTTTATATACATATATATTGATCATAAAGTTTTTAAAAATTTATTAATTTTTTAAAATATATAATTATAAAATACATGTTAATTTTTAATTTTGTTTATAAAGTTTAAAAAATTTATATTAGATAATTTTTAATTCATTAATTACTCTATGATACTTCTCCTTTTTTTAATTATTATCTAATGTAATCTTGTAAACTCATTTATCGAGTTTAAAATTTTAATTGATGTATTAGATAATTATCATGAAATTTTTTAACTTGTACTTTACACTAAAATTTTCTTTTATTTATTTTATAAAAGAAAATAAAAATATCGATAATCAAAATTTATGAAATAAATTTAAAATTTAATTTAATTAATTCATATAATCACAATAAAATTAAATTACCAACAAAATATTAAAAATAGTTATAATTTCATTGCAATATAAAAAATTAACATAAATATGCTCAAAACCTAAGAGCCCATTTAAAACAATTATGGGCAAACATGGCACGATTGGACTTGTGTAGTGTGTTATGTTAACCTACATGCCATGTACTGGTAATGGCCTTTAACGTACTATATCATAACGAACTATAGATGTGAAATCTTTTAGCCTAGCACAATACACATATATAAATCATACTTAGCTCAATCTAACTACTTAATAATGAATTGTGCCAAACATAAACAATATCATATCGAAGCATATCATGAAATGAATTGTCTAACTTGTTCAACACCTCTAATTATATTATAATGTTGTCGACTCTTGCAAATCCTTTAGCCTATAATTTATTTTGCACAATAAACACATTAGAAATGGGAGGCCAAAAGAATTGGATAAGACTATATTGAGTAAAAGATTGGTCTCAACCAAATTAAATGAATAAAACTTTATACATTTTAAAATTATTATCTTATATATTGAATTCATTGTTAATTTATAGTCTACACAACTATCGCATTTTCATTTACTAATTTATTTATTATTTAATACAAATTGATGATAAAATTTTTAAATTTTACAAATTAAATTAAATGATTTATGTATATATTTGTATAATAAGTAATCAATTCATTAATTTTTATCGAAATATTCTTAAAATATACATGTTAATTTTTTAATCTTTATAAAAAATAAAAAATTTTATATAAAATATTTAATTCATTAATTTCTTTACGTAATATTTTTATTTATGATCTAAAGGTATGTAGTAATTTTAAAAGCTCATTTAGAGAATTTAAAATTTTGATTGATGTATAGGACATAATTTTCATTTAAAATAATTATCATAATTTTTTTAACATTTGATTAATAATAAGTGCACACTGAAGCTAGAATCATTTTTTAAACGTAAAAAATCAAATAGACATCATCTAACAAAATTAATTTAAACGTAAGAGACCGTTGTCTTGAAGTTGTAATTTTCCAGTTGATGCTGATGTTTCATAGTGACTGAAATGGTCTCGTATTTTGCATAAATACCTGACCATGCTAGCCAATGTAATTTAGAACAATTAACAAAAGATCCTTTTTGAACTATCCAAATCATGTCATCTTTCTTAATACCATTCAAAGTCATGTTCTTCCTCGTACTTGTCCTGCTTCACTCTTACTCTGTTTTTGCTTCTTCATCCTCCATTGCTGCACTTACAAGAGGTAAAGAAGCGGAAGCTCTTCTAAAATGGAAAGCTAGCCTTGACAACAACACCCGAACTTTGCTCTCTTCCTTGTGGGTTGGAGACAGCCATTGCAGTTGGGTTGGAATTACCTGCGACAAGGCTGAAAGCATCACCAATCTAAGCCTTCCAGATTATGGGTTGAAAGGTACACTTCATAGTCTTAACTTTCTCTTCTTCCCTAACCTGATGAGGTTTAACCTTCGTAACAGCTCACTGTATGGGCCCATTCCCTCACACATTGGGAACCTTTCCAAACTCACCTTCCTTGACTTGTCATACAATAACTTTTCGGGGAATATTCCATCCGAAATTTGCTTATTGAAAGGTCTTGAGCTGATTTCCTTAGCAAGTAATGAGATCAGTGGTTCCATTCCATTAGACATAGGAAGGCTGAGTTCAGTTTCCGAGATTTATTTCTTTGATAACTATCTACGTGGTTCTATCGCCGCTTCCATAGGAAACTTGACCTACCTATCTATTCTCCACCTCTATGGAAATATGTTTTTTGGATCGATACCTCAAGAGATAGGGATGCTTAAATCTCTCACTGACTTTGATTTGAGTCAAAATAATTTCTCTGGTTCAATCCCTGCTTCTATAGGAAACTTGACCAGCTTATTCATTCTCTACCTTCATCAAAATATGTTTTTTGGGTCGATACCTAAAAAGATTGGGATGCTTAAATCTCTCACTTAAATTTTCGTTTGAACAGAATAATTTCTCTGGTCATCCCTGCTATCTATAGGAAACTTGACCACTTATCTCTTCTCACCTCTACCAAATATGTTTTGTGGATCGATACCTCAAGAGATAAGGGATGCTTAAATCTCTCACTGATTTCGTTGAGTCAAAATAATTTCTCTGGTTCAATCCCCGCTTCCATAGGAAACTTGACCAGTCTATCCACTCTCTACCTTTATCAAAATAATTTATATGGTTCAATCCCTGCTTCCATAGGAAACTTGACCAGTCTATCCACTCTTCACCTCTATCGAAATATGTTTTCTGGGTCGATACCTCAAGAGATAGGGATGCTTAAATCTCTCACTGACTTTGTGTTGAGTCAAAATAATTTCTCTGGTTCAATCCCTGCTTCCATAGGAAACTTGACCAGTCTATCCACTCTTCACCTCTATCAAAATATGTTTTCTGGGTCGATACCTCAAGAGATAGGGATGCTTAAATCTCTCACTGACTTTGTGTTGAGTCAAAATAATTTCTCTGGTTCAATCCCTGCTTCCATAGGAAACATGACGAAGCTTATGAAGATATATCTTCACTATAATCATTTATCAGGGCCAATTCCTTCAACGCTCGGCAATCTTACTCATTTGCAATCATTACAATTAGCAGATAACCATCTCAGTGGTCCATTACCCAAAAATTTATGCAGGGGTGGACAACTCGCAAATCTTACGGCTTTCAACAACAATTTGACGGGTCATATCCCACCAACTTTGAAAACTTGAAAACGTTTATATAGAGTTAGGCTTGAAGGAAACAACTTTACAGGAAATATATCAGAAGCTTTTGGAATATATCCTAATTTGACTTATATTGCATTAAGCAACAACAAATTTTATGGTGAACTTTCGCCAAACTGGGGGCAATGCCATAGTCTAACAAGCCTGCAAATCTCCAATAATAACATTTCTGGAAAGATACCACCTGGGCTGAAGCATGCAACTCAATTACGCGAGCTCGATGTCTCTTCAAATCATCTCATTGGTGAGATTCCCAAGGAATTGGGAGCATTGACATTGATGTACAAACTTTCGCTAAGTGGTAACCAACTTTCAGGCAAAATTCCACCAGAGATTGGAGTTCTTTCAAATCTAGAATATCTTAACTTGGCATCAAACAATTTGAGTGGACCGATTCCTAATCAACTTGGAGAGTGCTCAAAGTTATTGAACTTGAATTTGAGCAAGAACAAACTTGGAGAAAGCATTCCACTTTCAGTAAGCTACATAAATGGCCTTCAAAATCTAGATTTAAGTCAGAATTTACTTATTGGGGAGATACCACAAGAGCTTGCAAAATTACATTCCTTGGAAAGATTGGACCTTTCTCACAATATGCTCAATGGTTCCATCCCAAATTCTTTTAATAATTTGCAAAGCTTGACTGTTGTGAATATATCTTACAATCAATTAGAAGGCCCTATTCCGAACATTAAGGCATTTCATGAGGCTTCAGTTGATGCCTTAAGAAACAATAAGGGATTATGTGGTAATGCCACTGGACAAATGCCTTGTGCTGTCGCTGCCACTAGCAACGGTCATAGAAAAAGCACCAAAGTCATCATTTTCATTGTGCTTCCACTCTTTGGTCTTCTTCTTTTGCTCATTATCATAGCTGGAAGTTTCCTTATTCTTTGCCAAAAGAACCAAACCAGAAAATCCAAGTTAATCGAGGCAAAACTTGGAGATTTTTTCACATTGTGGGAATATAATGGAAGAATACTCCATGAGAACATTATTGAAGCCACTGAAGATTTCAGCTCCAACAATTGCATTGGTTCAGGAGGCTATGGAGCTGTTTATAAAGCTGCGCTACCCATTGGTGAGGTGGTTGCTGTGAAGAAACTTCACCAATCTGAAGATTGTATGATTTCCAACAACTTGAAGGCCTTTGAAAGCGAGATTCATGCTTTGTCAGAAATAAGGCATCGTAACATTGTGAAGCTGTATGGCTTTTGTTCACATCCAAAGAACTCATTTTTGGTTTATGAGTTTGTAGAAAGGGGAAGTTTGAGAATGGTGCTAAGCAACAAGGACAAGGCAATGGAGTTGGATTGGGAGAAGAGGCTAAATGTTGTAAAAGGAGTGGCCAATGCCTTGTCTTATATGCATCATGACCATTCACCGCCGATAATTCATCGAGACATTTCTAGCAACAATGTTCTTCTGGATTTGGACTATGAGGCTCATGTCTCAGATTTCGGCACAGCTAGGCTTTTAAAGCCCGACTCTTCTAATTGGACCTCAGTTGCTGGCACTTTCGGATACATAGCTCCAGGTATTTATTGATATCTTTTTTTGAAGGTACTTTAAACATGTCATCATTCAATTAAAATTGTTAGTTTTGTGTGCAAATTGATGTGTTAAAACAAAGTTCAAGTAGTATTATGATTGTAACATTTCAAATTTTAAGTATCAAATTAAGAATTTTACTATAATTCAAGTATCGAATATGTAATTAATCTTTGAAGTTTAACACTTAATTTTTCAATATTCAATATATCAAACTGATGACCTAAATGTAAAATTTTGTTAGAACCTATGAATTTCAATTTTCAAACAATCTTCTAAACATTTACAATTTTTTTTCAACATTATTTTATCTATTTTATCTTCTCAATATTCTTTATTCTTGCATAATAGTGTATTGATAAGATATATTTCTTGCTTAATAGAGCACATTGATTGGATATATTTTTCTAAGCAGAGTTGGCTTATACAATGAAAGTAGATGAGAGATGTGATGTTTACAGTTTTGGGGTGCTAACAATGGAAATATTTATGGGGAGGCATCCTAGTGACTTGATTTCATGTTCACCATCGTCGTCATCGGCACTGACATCAACATCGACATCGATACCAAATGACAACAAATTGATTTTACTTAAAGATGTGATAGACCAACGCCTCTCACCACCGGTAAGGCAAGTTGCAAAGGATGTTGTCTCTACTATAAAGCTAGCATTTGCATGCTTGAATGGCAGTTCCCAACTTCGGCCAACCATGCGACAAGTTGCTCAAGACCTTACCCGTCAATCACTTCCATTGCCCAATCCTTTCTCAATCATAAAATTGGGAGAGTTGTGGGATCATGAAGTCTGCAGTGGCTAATGTTAAGGTGCTAACTATTTGAATAATAATTCTAAGCATATGTATTTGCTTTCAATCTATTTCTTTTTCTCTTCTTTGTATTGAAATGTTTAAGCACTCTAGTAATGAAGCTTTTGTAGTGAATCAGCTGTGATATAGAATAGTTGTGTTTAAGCATTCAATTTGTATGTTCAAGATTTCCTATTTTTGAAACGTAACTAATGATCCGACTTAGAATTTGACTTTCAATGCAGTTGTAATATTCTACTGTAGTACCTATTTGCTATAGTACTTTCGCTTTGGAATGCTACAGCAATGCTAATATCACTTTTTTATTTGTTTGAACAAACAAAGAATACAATTGGTGAGCACACCAAATTACAATAAGCACAACTTCACACACTAATCTTTTAATTTTATTATTTACTCGTCATTTATTCTTATACACACTCATACACATTATTTCTCACAATTTCATCTTTTTAACTTTTCATCATTCACTGCCTTTTAAATCATTCAAAATTTAATTATAATTGTGTTGAGTACACTTGAAACAGATTTGAGTGACGATTTTGAAAAATATACCTTTAACTTGTACTTTTTTTACTAAAATGCTAAAAACGTTGTACTTTTCTCAAATTTCTCAAATAAACTTTTACCTATTTTTTATCCAATTGAAAGCATAAAACATTATTTTTATTTAATTAAGTGTTATTTTACATGAAAACCACTAAAATTTATTATTTTTACCATTTCAGCGGTAATAATTGTCTTTGTTAAATCAATTTACACATTACAATAAATAAAAATTTAAATTGAACTATCATTTACATAATATGTAACGAATGGCTCATATAATAAGCCACGTTAGCATCTAAAAAGTTTTTTTTTTTATTTTCAATATATGCTATGTAGATGTTGGTATCATAAAAAGAAATACGGCATATATGTTGATTTAGCAAGAAATAATATTATTTTTTGCAATTTTCATCTAAGAGAAAGAGTTTAATGGAACAAAATTATACTCAGATTCAATTAGACAAAAATAAATGTTTTAAAGACTTAATTAGATATAATAGAAGGATGGAGGCTTATATAAAAAATTCATGTGATTGATGAGTCATTGATGACATTGAATTTCAAGCCTGCTAGTTAGTCTTCTATTCAAAGTTTGAAAAAAAAAGAAATTTGGTGATACGATAAGGTAGTCTTTTACTCATGAAGAAAAGGAGAAGACTTGAGGATTTGAGTTCCAAGAAACAATGTACCATTTGTTTGGAGGAGTTCTTGGTTGGAGACGAAGTTGCCTCGCTGCCTTGCAGGCATGTTTTCCATGATGATTGCATTGTTAAGGGGATTTTCAGAAATTTTGCAAACTTCTTTACAGTGTTTAAAATGAGGAGATAATACAATAAACAATCTTGCTTTGATATAATTTTTATAAAATCTTATGACAATCGATGGATGAATACATTTTACTGAAATTTCTCAAAGTGTTGCCAGTTATCTCTACATTAATTAGTCACACATTAGAATTGACATTTTTTGGAATATTGAATTTAGTTGTACAAATAATTTTTGGAAAAGATTTATAGATATGATGGTGGCATCTTTATGTGTTATTTTACTTCATATTGAATTATTAGAGTAAAAGAAAGCTTGGATGGTTGTGGGTACGATCATTCGGATGATACTCAAATTATTTGAAATTAAAATTATTAGATTTGGATTATTTTGAGTTTAAATTATTATATTTTGAAATCAAATCAATTTATTTTAAATAATAATTTCAAATTAATTTTTGAGTTATTTGAGTTCGAATCATTTCAAAGTCATATTAATTCAAGTTTAAATAATTTTTGAAGTTTGAGTTAAGCAAAATTATATTGTGAATTTTTTTCTAATCAAATTAGATTGAATCAAGTTCATATCTAGATAGATTTAAGGTTATATATTATTATAATTATTATTGTAAAATGAAAATATTAATGTTCTTTAAAAAAATGATTAAAATTTTTTTTATTGATTGCTATCCAAATTGAATTAACTAAATATCGAAAGAAGTTAGACTGAGAAACAAAGAATGATCTTAGAAGCAGAAGTACTAAAACATGAGAAATAAAATGGATTCTACAAACAATTAACTAAAACATAGCAATTACTTCCATTAATTGTTGTCTATAACAAATGTAGAAATGTGAAACCAAATTGATTTTGATTTTAAATGAATAAATATATTTACCTTCACTACTTTATATTCACAGCTTACATATATAGCTATGTGTGCAACAAAGCTTTCTCGATCAATCTAATAATGGTATCATCTCTTCTGTGTCCCAACTTTTCTTCTTTCTCATCCTTGCATTGCTTCAATCTACACTAGTCTTTGCCTTAGTAATTGGTATCCTTTCAAACTGCTTCTTTAGCTACTGCTCTATCCATTGAAACAAAAACCCTTCAGAAATGGAGAGCTAGACTTGACAAGGGGAGAGAAATTGTTTAGTTGGTCGATTCAATTCAGTTTTTAAAAACTTCAAAAACCAAAAGCTGATTTAACCGAACCAAGTTATACAAAGCTAACATCATAAGTAAGCTCTAGAATTCAACATCTTTGTCCAATCGAATTTACAACAACTAGAATTGTTCAACATCCAACACCCATACTGTCAACTACTTCCTAAGAAAGCAGTACCAAGAACATCCGAATCATACAAAGATGAAACAAAAGTTGTATTTAGGAAACTGGTCCTAACTAGTCACCTTCCAAACTTACCAATGCCTGAAATTCCCTCTCCGCTTCCATCCACTTTGTTCCGATCACAATAAATCGGATGACAACATCCTTCTCAATCTTTGAGTGCTTGTCATTCATGAAGATAGCGTTCTCTCCAGGCACATAATGATAGTCCGGTATTTTTACGTGAGACAAATAGATGCTTTGGATTGGTCCACACTTAAGAAAAAAACTCCATGTTTTAGTACCTTGTGTACAACTCCATCCAAAATCTCTTCTCTGAACATCTTGAAGGTGATTCCACTGAAGACAACAGGGAAAAGCACATCCCCTGTGTTCTGTCTAACTCTGCCCTCTCCAATGCTCTCCAGAATTGTTACAGCCATGAAATATCCAAGATCCTTGGTGGCCTTCTTCCGAGCAAATTCATCCAAAAGGTGGACCACTATAGCCTTTTGGAGCATCAAGACTTTGGCATCCAAGCTGTCAGCAGGAATTATGACATTCCATGGCAACTGCACCTTGAGAAACATTCTGCAACTGCAATCAACATGGAAATGTTAAAACAAAAAAGGCAATTCGCATTTAAACGAATGTCCTTAGAGTTAAAAGAAACAGTATATTAATCTTGAAGAACTCAAAAATTGATTTAGTCCTATCCCAATATCAAGTATGTTAAAACCAAATTTCAACAATCCAAACAGTAAAGAAAAATATGGCATTTCCTTCAAGAACAGTATAGAAAAATCAATAAGTTGTAATAACCAACCATTTCAAAAATGATAAAAGAAAGAAAATCCCCTTCAAAATCTTTTCTATGATCTTATTCAATACAAGCCGGTCAAACAAAATCCTATTGAAAATAATACCTTTTAAACTACAAATGAATACTAGTTTAAACCAGCCAAAATTGCTAGAACGAAAGTTTCAATCACAAATCATGTGACAAAAGTTTATAAACAAAAAAACGTTTGTCATTTGGCTTTTAGTTTTAGGCTAATGTTTTACTTTTTTTTTTAAAGAAGAATACTCTTTTCAATTACTTTTTCTTTATGTTTGATACGAAAAATATATGATTTGAACTTTAAAAAATTTTGAAATAAATTCATTTTTAATAATTTAATTGCCTAAGTGAAAAAAAAAAAAGAAAAATTAGTATACGAGAATAAGATAATTAAAATGATTTGTATTTTCATAATGTCCCAAAAAAATAAATAAAAACCAAAATTTCTTTTATCATTATTATTGTGTCGCGCGTGATTTAAACAAGACAAAGCAAATTTAAAAAATATACTAAGTTAAAACTGAGTCCAAAAATTTATTTTAATTTAGTATGTCATTCCTTTTCTTTTTCTTTCTCTCAAACACGTGTATAAATCTTTTAAGCTTTGATTTAAGAACAATTTTATAAGAGTTGTCGTAATTGTGTCTGTCCGACGAATTTGAAAACAAAATAAAAATAAAAAACAAAATAGTCACCAATCTTTTTTTGGTTAGGTGCGATTGACCACCTATTAAAACATATCCTTTTAATGAAATCTTAAAATTAATTAAAATTTATTAAAAAGATAATTTTACGGTCTGTAAAACAGTTTGGGTTCGGGAGTCGGTTACGTGTGGGGAAGGATTAGCACCTCCACAGTGCCCGTTAAAAATGGTACCAATTAACAACGTGTTGTCTTTTGATTTTGATAAAAATAGTCTTATTTTCGATATTTGAAAATTAATTTTCTTGATTTTTTTATTTTTTATTTATTGTTTTTATATTCAAATATTATTCGAGAAAAATAAATTAGAACTTTTTTATTGAAATAATTCTTAAAATGTTCTAGTACGTTGGTAACATTAGAAGAACTCTTTCTCACCCAAAGATTTTTTAGGCATCATTTCTTGGAATACCTTAGAATCTCATCTTTGGAGGTCAGAATTTACTTTTCGTAAAAAACTATGTCATGTATGCAATGCAAATAATAACATGTTGATGCACACATTTTATTCTCTTTTACAAAAATTTTATTAATTGTTTTATTTTTAATTTTGGAGAAAAAAAAGAATTTTTATTGTATTGAAGTTCTTTTATAAATATTTCAATATACTGGTAATATTTAAAAAACACCTTCTCACCTAGGAATTTCTTAAAGCATCTCTACTCGGAATACTTTTAGAATCCCGTCATTGCATAAAATTTCCTTTTTTCTTATTTATATTATTATTATTTTTAATATATTAATTAATTTTTATTTATTGTTAACAAAAAAAAATTTTATTGTATTGAAAAATTTTTAAT